TATGAACTTCTGATCATTAGGAACTAAATATAATAATCTTTGTACTTTGTTCATAATGTTCAGTATAAATGCACATGGAAGTCTCACTTGGTAAATAGTTACCGAATTAGAGAAGTACTAGAAAGAATATTTTCATTTAATTACAAACACACACATTCATACATATTATTTATATAAATGATATGTATATGATATATACATATATTTTTCTTTTACCATAAAATAGCATACAACACAAGAGAAAATGCAGTATCACAGCAGAACAAATTATAGTTTATTTAATGTAGTTTCAAGTTGATTTTTTTCCCATGAGGTTTTTAAGATTTGATGTGCTAACAATTCAGAAAACATCCCAGTACTGTTTTTAAGTTCTTTGACAAAAATATTAGCATCCTAAGCCCTGGCTGGCATAGCTCAGTGGATTGAGCGCGGGCTGGGAACCAAAGTGTCCAAGGTTCGATTCCCAGCCAGGGTACAGTCCTGGGTTGCAGGCCAGAACCCCCAGCAACCGCACATTGATGTTTCTCTCTCTCTCTCTCTCTATCTCCCTCCCTTCTCTCTCTAAAAATAAATTAAAAAATCTTAAAAAAAAAAGAAAGAAAGAATGCAGCAGCTTTAAAAAAAATGTGTTACTTTAAAAAATATATTAGCATCCTAATATCACATAAAAAATTCTAAAGTGTGTGTTTTTCTCCTAATTACATATTTTCTTAAAGCAAAGGGCCTCAAATTAGCTATATTTATATTTGTGGCTTTTTTAAACTTTAGCTGTCCACATGCTAAAACATACAATTTAATCTTTTAATTAATTTATATTTTAAAGTTAATGACATGGCAACAATAATATTGTTTGTAGCATATCTCTAAATTTTATATGAATAAAAAAGACTTAAGACAATTGTATTGAAACTATTAAACTAATATTTTAAGACTGATGCTTTGAGACACTTGAGGATTAACATTCTTTTTATCTATGTTGCTTCTATCTTGACCTTAGACGATGAAAATTATAGATACAAATGCAATAACTTACTCTTCTATCAGAATAAAATACTTAATACTTTCTCAAGCCTTTAAACATGATGAGTATTAAACATTATAATACTTTTTTTCTCAAAGGAATTAATTGCATGTTAAATTTTTCCTCCTTTATCATATTAAAAAGCAAATAGTATTTGTAAATACCATTATTTCTACTATAAGTGAAAGCTCAGACTACTTTTTAGTGTCATACATTCTATTTAACAAAAATGCAATTATTCTTACCAGAGCCCAGACCAATGATCTGAAAGAATACAAAAGAATTGTGAACAATATAGTATTGAAAAATGAGATGCGAATGCTTTTCTGAATATGGGTATGATTTAAATAGACAAGTGCAGATAAATCCACGTGAATATTGCATTTGGTTCATTGAGTGGCTTATAATTTTGAAAATGTCACATGTAAGCAAATATACCACCACTGCTAGGATGTCAAAAAGGAAGTACATTTCTGTTAAGTGCAATTGCTTTTAGCTCACATAAGATAACCGTGACAATATTTAAAATAAAAAGTTAGCTTTTCAAAACAAATCATTTTACTCATATGACCATCAACTCTTCTCTGAATGAAGATAACTCAGCATATGAAAAGAGCTCAACAAATATTTTAGAATGAATGCTCATATGCACATTGTATATATGCATGTATATAAATATATATTTATATGTGTATAACCAACAACACAAATAGTCAAATGGTTATGGTAATTCTGTTTACAATCATATTTTGAAATTGATAATCATGTTACACCCATGGAATCTCCTTATAGTCAAAGGTCATGAAAATTATATTTTAATTCCTCTTCTCTGAGTTTTTACTTGAGGACATGATCTTCTAGATAATGCAATAGACAATACCTAAACATATGAAGCATGTTTACTATTGGGGAAAATGTTGTAATTAATTTTTTTGAAAAACTCAAACCAAAATATGAGTAAATATGAGTATGAATTATTCAACCAGTTAAAAATAAAATACCATATTTGACTCTGACTTATTTAAACCAAAATTGTGAATTTAGGTGAAATGTAGTTAGAGGAGATGATAGAAATCCAGTTTAATCAAGCTGTTTTTGTTACTCTGAGGTAATAGTTGGTTTCACACATTGTACCATGATTTGTAACCAAGTATGAGTCCTGGAAATGAACCTTAGCTTTTATGTACTTTTTTCTCCCTTTCTTCCTTTCTTCTTTCCTTTCTCCTTCTCCTTTTCTTCTCCTTCTCCTTTCCCTCCCTCTCTCCCTTCCTCCCTCCCTCCCTTCCTCCCTCCCTTCCTCCCTTCCTTCCTTCTCTCCATCTATTAGAACCATTCCCCTCTAGCCTAATTTAAAAATAATCTTATTTGTGTTCTGTTTATATTCTATTCTCTAAAATGTTATACTCAAGCAAAGTATCAGAATTTAAAATTTTGATATTATTTTTACTCTAGGAATTTTTTCTCATTTAAAAAAATCTTGCAAGTCTAGTTAATTTTAAAAATTAGAAATTTAATACTAGATTAGCATGGTTTACATTTCTAAGATAATAGTATCATTCTAAGATAATAGTATATACATTTCTTCAGTTTATAAGAATATAGTGTATTTTATCATTTTTATAAGAGGTGTCTTCTTTGGACACAATTTTTCTCATAAGTTGTTATAAAGTCTATAAAACTATTCACTGTAGGTCAACATTTAAAATTCAAATTTAATTATAAAAAGGTCATGGAAATATATTCTTTGACAGTACAGTACATAAAAAGATAATTTTCAACCAAAACATTAGTATAATAAATTATTAAACACTTTTAAGAACATTACTTAGACATAATGATTTATACTGTACTTTAGCCCTGTAATTTTAGTTTGTTAGTTATAAATTCAGTTTACAAATGTCCATGTGATCAGTCAATATCAGTAGGAGTGGTAAAATCAGTAGCAAAATCAGATTTTACTTATTAAAGAACCAATATATAAATCCCATGCTAGTTTATCTTTTCAGAAGTGATTTGCACTCATTTAAATTGGCGTGGACACGTTTAGAGAGGCAAAGCAGCGTTTGAATTCCTACTGGGAGTGAAAGTACAGTCACCAATTAAAAACCTTCTTCACATTCTCAAAATCACTTGCATTTCACACTTCTCGCCACGCAGCTGAGTTAGACCTAGGGCATCTTTTGCATCTCTTTGCCTCCAATTGAAACCCCTTCAACTGTAGAATGTGACGCAAACATCCAAGTCGGAAAAACATCTAAGGGGAAGGTTCTTTCTTTTCAGGAATTCTCTAAGCGTGGAACACTGACCCTCAGCTCCTTCATGCACCACTCTCCCAACTCGTGCCACTGGGCCATCTCCCTCCTGCGCCCTCTGCCCTCTTTGACGATATCCTCTACCCTTTGTAATACTGCCACTTTCTCTTCTCTGTCCACTTTTCTCCGTGGCCATACATATTTTTTCAAAACATTCCGTTGAGTTTTGAGGAAGACCTAAGTTCTTTCCAGAAGGAAAATGAGGATGGTAATAACAGCGAATAAAGTATTAGAGAACTCCCCACACTAGCAATGCGGGCTCCTCCGTGCACCCTCATCGCATTTTGTTTAGCTTGAGAGCATTCCTCTTTCCCTTAGGTTCGCCGCGGGAGGAGCTGTCTCCACCCGCAATCGGTGGAGGCATTTTTGTTGTCAACTAACCCCCTCTAGCGCCGAACTGACAGAATCCGAGCCGCGGCTGCCAGCAGAGCGCTGGGCTTGGCGGAGCTCAGCCGCGCTCCGGACTCCCGCCCTGCCCCCTGTACCCGCATCAGCCGCGGGGCGAGAGTGTGAAGGCCACGGACGCCAAGCCCCGCTCCATGTTATTCCTGCGTGCTGCCCGCCCCTGGCACGAGGGCCGCCTGGCTTCACCGAGTAACCAGTGCCACGGCTCCTGACCGACTCCTCCGAGCGCTGGGAGGGAGAGGGTGCTGCAAGAGGACGGCTCACGCGCGACAGCGGCCAGTCCGCCAGGAACTCGGTGCCCCCTTGAATGTGGCCACGCGCTGCGCAGCCCCTGGGCTGCTCCGAGCGCGCGGTCCGACGCTGCCACGCCGCAGACGCTCCGGGCCCTCGGAATCCCAGCCCCCACGGCGTCGACAATGCTCGTGACCTCCACCGCGCAGTTCCCGCCGCGCGGCGACGCGAAGACCTCAGGGAAACCCGGTGCCAGGCACCCGATCACGTTCAGCCTGAAGTGACTCTCCTCCGCTGCTGGCTCACTGCCTTTGCTTCCCTAGGACTTGAAGCCGCGAAGGCGGCCACAAAGCTGAGGCTCCCGCAGTGGTGGGCAAGTTTGGACAGCCCTCGCTGGGGAGCCGTCCGGCTGGTCCCGCGACACCACCACGCTCGCCCGGGACTGGGAGAGCTTGGCAGCCGCACTCTCCCGCTCCGGCGGCGGAGATGTGGAGAAATATGGGGGAGGCGGTGTCGGGAGCTGACTAGCCTAAATCGCTGGGCGCTAGTGCTGCCAAATGGGGAGCAAAGTGCTTGGGGACTAAGAGGGGCCTCAGAAATGCCCAGAAAGCTGCGGCCAAGGCCGAGGCGCAGCGCAAATGCAGCCGAGTTGGAAATCTCAGCGGTGCGAGCCTCTGCCGTCGCCACACCAGCCAGGGGCTGAGGACGCAGTTCAGTAGGTGGCTCGGACCACTCGCGGCCCCACGTGATTAACTTGGCTCTCCCTGCACAGGCCGGTGGAAAGTTCCCGCGGCCCCAGCCTCGTCTCACAGCTGCTGCTCCTCCCCAGCTTTTGGCTCCGCAAGTGCCCACTTCAGTCTGGAGAGGCGCTCGGGCCGCCGCACCTGGTCGTCCTCTCCCCACCAGCGCCGCGTGGCGTCCTCCCCCGCCCCTCGCTCCCCTCCCCCAAACCACAGCCCTAGCTCCTTCCTGCGCGCGCGCTCTCCCAGGCCCAAGTGAATAGTCCTCGCGCGAGCGGGACACGGTGGTGGATGCAATTCCGTTCGCCTACAGCCGCCAGGAGTTCCCTGGCGCCGCAGGCAGCGTCCTCCTCCGAAGCAGCGGAGCCTGCACCTGGGCAGCCTGGACCTTCCTGCCCTGCCCTCGGGGCCTCGCGCGGGGGGCGCCTCCGGACACCCCCTGCGGGCCGGGTGGAGGAGGAAGAGGAGGAAGAAGAAGACGTGGACCAGGTTCCCTACCCTACACGTAACACCTGGCTGCGCTGCTGCCACTTATCTTTTAGGGGGAGAAGAGGAGAGCCGGGGAGAGCCATGGGGGGCTGCGAAGTCCGGGAATTTCTTTTGCAATTAGGTTTCTTCTTGCCTCTGCTGACAGTTTGGCAGGGAGACTGCAGTCACGTCTCCAACAACCAAGGTAAGGGACCGAACGGAAAAGCAGGAGGGAGTGGGAGGAGGCGGATGATACGAGGACCGGTGCATTGGTCGCTTCCTGCAGGTAACTTCGTCCCAGGATTGTCTTATCTGGGCTCGCCCCACGAGGGGGTCCAGGGTATCCCCTCACCTGAACGCCCTGTCCACATTGCCTCGGACCTGCGACCCCACCAGCTGCGGTCCCTACTGTTTCGAAATATCTTTAGAGGGATGCAGGAGCCTCAGCAATAGTTGAGTCCCACCCCTGGCGGCAGCGGGACCACTCTTCGCTGCGCTGCCTCTACAGGAGGCCAGTCTTCCTGACACACGCTTAATGGAGACTTCTGGCTCTTAGAGGTAGCTCCTAGCTGGGTTACGTGTAGGGACTCACACGACTTCAGGAAAGCAAATCGCTTCCGCTCTAACCTGTGACCAAATACTAGCCTTTGCCTCCAGTAACTGCTGCCCTTGCCTCGCCGCAGCCTGTCCCCATGACCCATCCAGACATGTTTGAATTATTTCCTAGAATGGATATCTGTGCTTATGGTTTCTCTTTTCATTGTGCACACAGGAGATGGAGGGAAATAAGCGTTAAGTGTGAATATCCAAGTTGTGAATATCCTATTACTAAAGTCCAGTCTCTGTTAGATATTTTTGGAGGAAGACTGTTTCGGTAGATAAAGTGTTAAAAATGAAGGTGAATAGTGTGTGGAAAGTGAAAGTCAGGTTTGCCAAATGGAAAGCACTTAGAATTTCTGAACATTTTATTTTCTTCTGTTTAAACAGTTTTTGTGAGATATAGCTCATTGGATTTCTGCTACGATTCTTTAAAGATCTATAATAAATATCACCTGCAATATCTAAGTCCTCTTAGCATAAGCAGCAAACATCCATAAAAGTTTTCCAGCATGTGTTTGGCTGAATGCTCTCATTGGAAATGTGATAACCACCAATATGTCACCTGTTATGTCACACTTTTCTAAAGACTCCAAATACAAAACTTCAGTTATAGTTACTATTTAACATAGTAGGCCTCAGGATAATTTGCAGATATAAATATGGAGGTCAGATGACATAAGAGTGTGCTCTTTTTTTGTGAGGGTGAAAAGATTGAGAGAGAAGGCAAGTAAAACCTATATGACCATTTAATTTTATTTAGAAATATTCAGAATCAACATTCATTTGTGCTCATACACTTCATATTTTTGGCATGTTTTCCTAAATACTTCTTTTTTATTTCTACCAGATTGCAATTGCAGATGCATATGTAAATTTCAGAATCATACACAACCATCATGGCTTTCAAGATGTGTCAAATAATAAGTGTCCAATTATACTGTCATACTCTCCTATGGCCTATGGCAGTGTATACCTTCACATACATCCCTCATTTGTTTGTAAGAGCTATCGACATTCAATACTGAAAGGGTAGTTAACTTAATCTACTTGTGTGAAAAATAGATTGTTAAAAATAACATAATTATTTACTCTGTCTTTATATTTTAAGAAAACTATTTTTTAATAATTGGAAAGTCAGATGTTTATATTGTACTCTGTGTTAGTAACTAGAGCTACTAATAGAGATGTATACTTTGAGAGTCAAGTTTATTAGAATTATATAAAGTTTTTTCCATGCCGTAGTCCCCCTCAGTCAACATTTATTTATTCATTAAGTGCCTACGAGACACCATGAATCACTTTAGGCCCTTGAAGATACTAACATAAATATAATATATATCTGAATCTGCAAATAACACAAGTGCCATTCTACCAAAATCTGTCAGGTGTTGAAGTACAACCTTTCAGATATTCTTGTTAAATTAAGGACATAGAAGAGTTACTTGTTAACCTCTTCCAGTAATTTTTATCTATTTAGATTACTTTCCCATCTTTTTAAAACACATTTTATCTAAAATGTTTACCAAATATATATAATTCATGGGTATTTTTTATTAATTAGTTTAACTTAATGTTAGTGAATGGGCATGACTCAGTTTACCCATCTGTCATGTAGGATACTCATCATTGGGTAATGTTTACCCAATGCTACCCACCATTACAGATAGTCTATGAAAACTCTTAATTTGAATTTCTATTAATACAGTAAAAACACAGGCTATGCATATGATTACACTTGGATAAAATAATACCTACAGGGTAAGTTGGATAAAATTAGAGGAGTTCTTCAAAAGAAAATTAAAGAGAAAGTTTGCTCTGATTGTTTCATCAGAAATAAATGGTTGCTTATAAAGTGCTGTTACAGCCTAAGTCACAGTGTTTAGAAATTATGCCTTATTATACGCTGGAATAACTTTCAAATACTGAGGTGATCACACTAATAGTTAATAAAACCTCAAACTTAAAAATGTTATTTTTATGAATACTTTGGGCATATTTTATTAACTTGTAGTTTTATGGATAACATGAATTAAAGTATAGCTTACCAATTTTTAAATATTGGTGTTACAGAATTATATTATGTATATAACATAGAAAGATTAATGTGAAGTATAAATAGGATTTCTAATATACATTATGAACATCAGTAATATGGCTAGTAGTTAATCTCAAGGAAATGATGTTCATTTTCTTAGTAACTTTTCATCTTAAGAGCTAATGGAATTCAGGTTTTATTTTTAAAATTTGTTATTTTATGAATGCTAAAATTTTATTTTTATATTACTTGCCTTCTGATTAAAGATATTAATGAAGTAAAAATTTTAGTGCTTTTTATCCATTTTGACCAAATCATATAAAACTCTTTATGGTTAAAATGAATGAATTCACCTTCTTCCTGCCTCCTAGTTTCTTACACTTAGAATAGGTAAAATAATGATAATGACAAAAAAATGAACTACCTCATTTTTAACATGGTGCTTAACATGTTGCTAAGAGTAACTTCACTATAGGAAGCAATCTTTTCTCTTGTCTTTTAACTGGCTGTGAAACTGTGCACTATAAAGAGAAAATAAATCAATTTGACTCTCTCTTCCCATTACCCAACCTCCTTGAATTGATTAGAAGGTAGAGTTTCTTCCTGGATCACTCATCTGTTTAGTAAGTGAAAGCATGGTTTGTATTCATATTTCTCTTATTCTTAATAATTTACCCTGTATTTAAGACAACAGTATTTACTAGGTATTGGTGATTTTTATTTAAAAATAACAAATTTTGTCTTCTCAATGTCTATAAACATTTATACCTGTACTGACACTTAGGTGCATATAAAACAAAATCTTGTTTCATATGTAAATAACCATGTTCATCAATTATAGTGGTTAGTAGCCACCAGGAGTTTATTTATTCAAAGATCAGTTTAGCAAATAGTACTGTACAGTCTGAAAGAGTTGATGTAAATCTCAATATCTGGCTCATTTTCCAAAAATCACCAATCAGATACTAAAGTAATTCATTAAATCAAAATATGGTTTGGATGCAAGAATCTAATGAGTTCAGTTTACTGCCAAGATTTTGTGAATTTATCTCCCCCAATCCTCTGTTCCCAGGTAATTCAGTGACAAGTGAAACAAGCAAAACAGTAGTCTGACTTGTTAGTTTCACTGAATTAATTATTTAGGCCAAAGTGAGTGTAAAATTCAATTAAGTTATATGTAAATATAGGTGAACATACCTGAGCAGAAATATACCTGCTTAATAAAATCTGTAGCTTAAAATTAGTTGGACTGTCATATTGTTCACAAATTATAAAACTGACTATTTTAATGGTAATAGGAATTGAATTTTTTTTAGAAAGTTCAAAACTGACCTTTTCTGAAAATATTAAAAATTTTGTTAAATAAGGAAAACTGGATGATTTAAAAATAATGATTCTAAAAGAATTTTAACTTAGATAAAATTGATTTTCAGGAATAAACTATTCATAGTTGTAAAGGTACAGGAGATTGTAATCATATGCTTTCCTGTAATCATAAATATAAAAGCAACCTGGGATATAATTTTATCATACATTTATAAATTAAAATGTCATTGTGTAATTAGTTGTTATGATTAGTATTTGAAGTGGAAAGATAAAATGTTTTAATATGCATTGATCATCTAGGTGTTGTTTGCTCTGGGTTTGGGATATGACTGTATCTGAAGACATTTTCTTGCAAAATAATTATGCAGTGTTATTTAAAGATCCCTTCTTCAAACTGAAAGGAACATGAATAAAACATTTGGATTTTCCTAAGAGGAAAAAAATATATATTTAATGGTATAAGACAAAATTAATGGTTAAATTACACCTTTTTACTGTTTTTAGATTTTAAACTTTTAAATGAAGACTTTGTGTTACTTTATGTTAAAAAGTTAAATATTAAGAAAAATATTAGAATATAATTCTTTGTTTCTTCACTCATCATAAGTGTAAACTACTTAACTACCAAAGGCATCTAGATTTCTTCTATTTCCTTCTACCAATCCTTTTTCCCTATCATGTGCTTCATATCTCAATCATACTCTTTCTCTCTTCACATATGTGAGTACTTGTAACTATATAGTCCATCTGTCCCAAATGGAGAAAGAATAGATCCTGTTTTACACTTTTACGTCAACAAACCTCTACAGTAATAGAAGTTTTTTCATTGTGTTCTTGATTCAGCATTTCTTAAGAGTATAAATGTGGTGGAAATCAATACATGTAGTTAAGTAATCAAAATAGGTTGGCTTTGTCCAGTGTACATTGTCAATCATATAATCAAACTAAATTTATACCTCTATAGTATTTTTAATAAAATTGTATTATTTAAGGTGTGCAGCATATGTACTACGTCAGCATTCCAATCAACTTGCAATTTATTAAAATGACATTATTTCTTCTAAAATGGGCATTAAATTACTTCTGCTTTTGCCTAATTTTATTAAGTATTATTTTCTGGAATCTAATATTTGGATGATGGAGAAAAAGAGATAAGTGAAGCAAACATTGTCCATGCCCACATGGTATCTATTTCTAGTAAGGGGGACTGGCCAAAAAATGTTAGGTAAAATAAAATGATAAAA